AGACTCCCCGCTGAGCAGGGAGCCCAATGCGGGACTCCATCCCAGGACCCCGAGATCATGACCCTAGCTGAGGGCAGACACTTAACCGACTGAGCCACCCAGGCGCCCCATCACTACAATTTTAGAACATTTTCATCCCCCCAAAACAAAACCCCGCACCTGTTAACCGGCACTGCCCCCCCCCCCTCCAGGCCCTGCTAATCCACCTTGTGTCTCCACAGATTGGCCTCTTCTGGGCATCCTGTTTACGCAGGATCATAGAGTGTGTGGCCTCGTGTGGCTTCTTTGACTTCGAGTAATGTTTTCAGGGCTCATCCATGCTGCAGCCTGTGTCGGTACTTTGTTCCCTTGTTTGGCTGTGTGGAGAGACCACATTTTGTTTGTCCGTTCATCAGCTGATGGGTTTCTGGGTTGCTTCCTGACACTTCTCACCTGGTGGCCACAGGGAACTTAGCATTATTCACTGTGCCTCTCAAAAATCCTGTCCACGTCTTTTATCCCGCGGTAACTTGTTAAGGCCATTGGAGTAAAATACGGAGAGTCCTCCTGACACAGGAACTACTGTTTTTCTTGCTCTCTATCTTTGAAGTTCATCAGCAAGTTCTAGGGTCCTAAAAGGACCTACCGCGTGTCCTGCAAATGTCAGTTCACCTACTTGTCGCAGTTCCACGAGGGTGTGGGGTACATACTTGCACAGATAAGACTTGGGGCCTCCAGGGATAGGATGCTTGTCCCAGACACACCATCAGTGTGGTGGGGGCGGGATTTGAACCCATGCTGCCTTTGGCTTCTCAGAGTCGCTGCCACTCCGTGCTCTGTGGGGAGGTAGAGTCTGCGAACACTGTGCCGCAGGAAGGCCAGAAAATGGAGCGCAGAGACTGCCAGTTTGTTCTGGCTCATCAGACATATGGTGCATGCTTCTCCTGCCAGGCGCGGTGCCCATGACTGAGGAGATAGCATCTTCACCTTTGCGGAGGGCCTCCCAGTCTGCCTGACCTGGCCAGCTACCGTTGGCCCCTGAGTAAGGCCCAGGCACCCTGCCCCGGGCCTTGAGGCCTCTTGGGTTGGAAACTGGAAGATGTCAGTGCTTCTTAAAAGGGCTCTAGGTGTCACTGGACGTAGACGCTGCATGGTCACACAGCGGCCCCCTTCCTACACCCCAGCGCTTCCCACAAGGAGGGTGTGGGCAGGACTTTTAAAAATCGTTCCAGAATGAAGGTTAGATATGTTTGAATAGAGGCCCTTAATCGTTTACAAGGCAATTATGCTTGATTTCAGGAATGCCAGAAAGGACTACATTACTGCCAAGTACATCGAGAGGAAATATGCAAGGAAAAGGCATGCGGATAATGCAGCAAAACTTCACAGCCTTTGTGAGGCTGTCAAAACAAGAGATATTTTTGGATTACTCCAAGCGTATGCTGACGGTGTGGATCTTACAGAAAAAATCCCACTGGCCAACGGACATGTAAGGGTGTGGTCTGCTCCTTTTAAAGAAAGAAAAGAAAGTGGGGGGGTGGGGAAGTGGCAAGGCAGTATAATCAGAAATGCTGAAAAAGTAGTATAGTTCTCTGAAAGAAGATAGCATTGAGTTCTGGGGAAGAAATTGGTGCTTTATTCTTAAGCCAAAAATAGAATGCCAGCCCTGGAAGGAAAGGCCAGTCCCTGGGGGGAGGGAGCATCTTCTCAGGAACCCGAGCAACCCGAGAGAGGTCCTGTCTCTGGTGAGCAGGGATCCAAACTTTCAGTAGCAGCTGCTGGGGCCGCCCTGGGAAGGAGAGCCCCTCAGCCTGCTCCCTCCCCTGTGCCCTCCTCCCTGAGGAAAGGGGAGAAGAGAGACATCCCCCAGTTTTCTGGGAGAACCTTGTTGAGAGGGTGAGGTCTAAAGGTGGGGTGGGATCTTCCTGTCAGGATCGAGTCCACAGGAAACCGGTTACCAGTGTCAAGGGTTGGCATATATCCTAATACTCTTCCATGGGTGACCTCGTGACACACACAACACATTCCCTTGAAACCTTACTGTCATGATGAAGGCGCAGGGTGCTGGCTGTTAACCCTTAGCAGCCCGAGCACACATTATATGGAGCCTGATATTCCGTGTTTAAGAGAGAGAAAGGTCAAGCCCAGGTGGCCCAGGGCAGAGCATGCTCAGCTCAGAGCTGTGCCGCGGCCAGGAGGACAGGGGGGTGGCCCTGGCTGGCTGGACAGGTGGAGTGGGGCACCTCCCTCTTCGCCTCATGTTCCCTGTTGCATGGATATTTCCTTTGCCTCCGGCTCTCTTGCCCACCCACCTGCCTGAGACAACCACCATCTGGTCTGTCCTCCCCCACCTGCCAGAACTCACGTTCAGAAAAGGCAGTGGTGTCAGGTGTCCCCTAGTATAAACTGAGGGCAGTCTGGGCATTAGCACTGATGGCCCTATCCGTAAGTATAGAATGAAAACCGTGAACACCGGTATCAGAGACTGCATACAAGAGGCCTGGGGAACCTTCCTGGTGTCTTTGAACAAAAGGGCCCCCCCTTACATGTTGTTGGTGCAGGGATAGGGACCTAGAGATTGGGGGACTCTGAGATGAAACCCCTGAATTTCTTATTACTTCCTGTGGAGGAAGGAAGACCAGTCTCCAAATTGCAGGTTGCCAAGGGCAGAGTTTCCCCAGGAGACTGAAGGGGCCATATATCTTAGAGATTAATGTTTTGAAAGAAAGAATAAAAGGCTTTCAGAAGAGAGAGACACGATTTCACTCACATTGGACACAAAACTGAATGCTCCTCTTGGAATTCTGCAATGTTTCTGTTTGGTCTTCAGGAGCCAGATGAAACCGCCCTCCATCTTGCAGTCAGGTCGGTGGACCGGACTTCTCTCCACATTGTAGACTTTTTAGTTCAGAACAGGTAGGTGTTCTAAAATTAGGGGAGCGTTTTGTTTTGTTCCTTGGTGTTTCCAAGGAAGGATCAGGTTCCTGCCTCATTATGTGGCCAAGGTGCTGGGATTTTCCCAGGCCTGAACACGAACCGTGGGACCGGAAAAAACCGCCAGGAGTGGGGTATTCCAGCATAGTCCCAAAAAAGCCCTAGAGTGTGAGGACAGAGACCCTTCTTGGTATCTGCAAGACCCATCTTCTAGCGTCTGGGACTCAGGAGATACCAGGTCAATACATCTGAATTCTGGGCCCTGGAGGGCAGACTGTCTGTGAATCCCACCACCCTGTGTGCACAGACCCGTCCCCACGCTTGTCCCTCAAGTGTCTCACTAGACCCAGGCAGGTGCCCTGAGCAGTGGGGAGAGTAAAAGGGACACATAAAAGATCCATACTTGGGCCACCCGCCTAAGCTGAGATTGTAAACCGCATCACTGGGTTGTGGGCATTTTGTTTGGTTTGAAAAGTTGTTTCTGTTTTTTAATTAGAAGTTTCCTTTAAAGAATGTGTGTGCCGCTTACCCGGGCTCCACGGTCCTGTTGTTTGGTGCATCGCCCGCCTGGGGCAGCAGGCCAACCATGAAGACCCGTCACAGTGTACCTTGACTCCCTGATCATGTGTGTGGAGGGGGAGGTGCTGGTCAAAAGCCCCTGAAATTGCCCCAAACGGAGTGGAAAATTCCACCGTGCAAAAGCAAGGTCATATTTTGCCTTTCGGCCTTTCCCTGCTGTTCCTGGGGGGGCAAGAAATGGCCAGAGGTAGAGCAGCTTGGGGCAGGTCAGCAGTTTGCGGGACTCAGTGGAAGCCGCACTCTGTTGGAGCCGGAATGCCCACCCAGCGCCTTGCGCGTCACGGTGGCTCCGTGGACAGTGGATGAGACAGCTTGGGGACGCCAGTCCTCCTCAGCGTAGTCTCTTGGAGCGTGAGAAGGGAAATCCTGATTTCTTCTAGCGTGGAAGGAGGGCAGCAGGAAGAGGGGAGAGATCAGAAGATGAGGCTCATTTGCACCCTGAAAGTGTAGCAGGTTCTGTCTCGATGAGAGCTGCCCCCCATCCGTCCTTCCAGGGCCCACAGAGCCCCCTCCCTGTCCCTCCTGCTCAGGACAGCCATGTTTCAGGGCTGCCTCCGCCGGTGGGCTGGGTGGCTTTGTCGGAGGAGTGCAGCAGTCCGGTCTTGTTTTGCGCTAGGACTTTCGAAATCTCACGATCGCCGCTTTGGCTGTTTTCGGGGCAGCCCGGGGCCCGCAGACGCAGAGGCGTTTGCACATTCTGGGCTTTGGAAAGGTGGCTCTTTCGCTTCCTGTCAACAGTGTCAACAATATGAGGAGAAAAGGCTCCCCCGTCCTTCTGTGGGACAGGATGGCAAGTCACACCAGCTTCCTGAGGCCCACACCCTTCAGCCTCCGGGCGCTGATGGAGAAGCGGGAGGGATGCCGTGGTTCGTGGTTCAGGGCGGCCCTTGAGGAGGCAGCCAGCACCCCCCACCCCCACAGCAGCCGCACAGGCACCTCGCTCTGGCCTTCCCTGCTGCTGTCGCCGGGTCCTGCCGGCCTCAGCCCGAGCGCCTCACCCGCCCCGTCCCGGCAGCGCCGAATGCCCCGCGCGCTGATTCCGTGGCCTGCCCTGCTCACGGGCCCAGGCCCCGGCCTGTGACTCACCTGTCTCTCCCTCCCTCTGCCCCTGTTTTTGGTCAGCGGGAACCTGGACAAACAGACGGGGAAAGGCAGCACCGCCTTGCACTACTGCTGCCTGACGGACAACGCCGAGTGCCTCAAGCTCCTCCTGCGCGGGAAGGCCTCCATCGAGACCGGTGAGGCCCCGGGCCCGGCTGTGCGCAGGCCCCGCGCTGCTGCGGGGAAGGGTCCAGGTGCTGGGCTCCTGTCGGCCAAGGGGACCCAAGTCCTGCCCTCGGGAGGCGGGGGGCCTCTCCTCCCGTGTCTGTCAGCGGTTTCCCACCATCCGGGACGTAGGCCTTGAGTCACGGGCAGGCACCGTATGGTTGTGAGAGGCAGAGCGCAGGCCCTGCAGATGCCGCTCGTGCTGAGGTGAACTTGAACAAGGCTTGGGGCATCTTGCCCCCCTCCTCAGAACCCCCAGCCAGGATCAGGCTTAACCCCTTCCCGGCTCTGGGTGGAAGGTTTACGGGGCGGTGGGGAGTCAACGAGTCTCCTCCTCGGGGGACCCTGAGCTCCTGGACCTTCATCCCTCCCTCTACCAGGGGACCCTGATGCACTGGCAGCTGCCTGAGGGCAGGCAGCCGTGATGGCGTTGTGAGGAAGTGTTTTTGAAGAGCCATTGAACAGAGAGCAAAGAGAACAGAAAGGAGGCACACACCTGCTTGAGCCAAGTTTTTTTCTTTCTTTCTTTTTAATTAATAACCAAACCTTGTTGATGGAGGCTTATTTGGAAGAAAATACAGAATTTCAGATTTACAGACTGCTGAGAAGGAGGTCGGTTAGCGCAGTCTTTAAAATCTCGCCGACCACACGCTGCTGCAGTTCTGTAGGACTGGAAGACCAGTCAGCCTCCCTGCTCCATGCTGTGCATCTCATTAGTCATGCTCAGTGTCACTTGGTGCTGCCTCCCTGTATCTTCTTTTAACTGCCTCTTGATATCAGACCTTTGCTTGTTTTTGCCGTAACGCCTCCTTGTGTTGCCCTGCCTTTTAGCCAACGAGTCCGGAGAGACGCCACTGGACATCGCCAAACGCCTCAGGCACGAGCACTGCGAGGAGCTGGTGAGTCTCCCTCCGGCGCGGACGGAGTGAAGCCGCCCTGCCCGGGTCGGGGAGGGGCCCTGCCCTCTGGGAGGAGGGTCTTCCCACATTTGGACCCTAGAGCGGACAACCAGGAGAAAGTGTACTTGGGGAGTCTTTTGAGAGGAGGGGACCACCCCCCTCGTAGTGACGCTTGGAACACAAGTCGGAATTTGCTGGTTGGACACGTGGCGTCACCTGGGGCAAGTGGAGCAGAGATCAGGAGGCCGCCGCAGTTCTGGCCCTTCTCTCGAGTCTGTGAGCCGCTAGCTCTTCCCCTTGCAGCAGCATCCCCAGCTGGTGTGCATATTCTGTTCCCCAGCCCCAAGTCATTTGGATTGTTCTGCACCGTCTTTTCCTGTCCTGTTCTAGAAGAGGCAGTGCGGCCAGCAGACAGAGCCCACAGGGTCAGGCAGCGTAGGGGCTCCCACCGTGACCTGGGGAAGTCACGCCAATGCCAACTCTCCCGCTGTCTCCTTATTCGTAAGGTGGAGTCCGTTACACCAGTTTACAAGGTTGTTGCAAGAATTAGCATTGCACTGTGCGACACTCAGTGAGTGCTCAATAAATAGAACTACTACTAAATGCTATGCAAGTGTGAGATGAGTAAGAGGTACTGTTCTCAGTACTTCATATCCACTAATTTAATCTGGATAGCTACCTTATGACGTGGTTGCTTCTGCTACCCCTATTTTACAGATGAGGAAACAGGCACAGAAGGGTTAAGGAACTTGCCCAAGGTCACACAGCTACACTCTGGCTGTGGAGGAAATTAAGGGCTAATGTGCTAGGACACCCACTGAATCTAATGAATTTGCTTCTCTCCTGTGGATCTAACATGGAATTGGGTATTTACCTTCCTTGAGAGAATTGTGAAAATACTCATTCACATCCTTTTTCTGTGGGCCATAATCTCTCGTGTGGGCCAAGACTGGTTGGGTTAACAGTTAGTGGACACGTGCATTGTCCTCTGTTGAGTTTGCTCCTGTGTGTGCCTGTCAGCACCTGCAGGCCAACCATTAGCCTTTAGATCTCGAATAGCCCTCGCCTGCACACAGCACTTAACAGGTTACAGAGCACTAAGTGGGAGTTTTGAGGTTTGAGTTTCAAGGTCCTCGGTGAGGTAGGGAGGGGGGTTTCAGTCGGCTGGCCTCGCCCCGGAGGGACTCTGCCTCCCCTCTCCCCACCTCCCACCACTGCCCGTGGGTGCCCACCTCACAGCCCTTCCTCTTCTCAGCTGACCCAGGCCTTATGCGGGAGGTTTAACTCTCACGTCCACGTCGAGTACGAGTGGCGACTGCTCCACGAAGACCTGGATGAGAGCGATGACGATGTGGACGAGAAATTGCAGGTCAGTGCCAGGCTGCAGGACGCCAGGAGTGTTGTGATGCGCTTCGCTCCGACACTGTGGAGCCTAGAGTATAATCAGGGCAGAAAGTGGTTTTGTACAAAAAGCGGAGTTAACTCTGGGCTTCCATTGATCTCAGTAGCTGTTTGGTTTTGCCCTTCCCACAAGCGCCGCTGGTCTCCCAGCTCCTGCGCGTGTTGATTTAAAGGGACGTTACTTGTGTGCTCATCATCAGCTCCTCAGATCAAAAGATATGGGGGGGCCTCTGTTTCTAGTGGGATTTCGAGGAAGCCCTCGCACCGTGGATGTGGGAAAGAGCCAGGGGTCCCCAGTATCACAGGGCATGTTCACCTAGTTGATCTTTAAAACCTTAACTAGAATTAAATGACCGTTAGAGCTCTGGGTCCAGCTTTTTCCTTTATCAGATGGGATCATGGAAGCTTCAGGAGAGGTTGATCAGTTGACTCAGCCACAGTGAAGCCAGTGTTTAGACCAGCTTGAGGCCAGACGGAGGGCGCTGGCCTCCGAGTCCAGCTCCCTGCTCATGACACTCTGTCTTGCACAGTTGGGGCCCCCCCCCCGGCAGGTTACTACCTTCACGCGGGTCTCAGAGCGGAGTCAGACTCCAGCAGACTGACTCCAGAGCCCACACTCCTAGCTGCCAGGAAATTCGTGGGGAATGCCATATAAAGTGTTCTATTTTTATTGTAGGACTTGAATGTCCTGATGTGCACTGAGGATGTCTGATTATATACATCTATGGCATTTCCAAAACCTCCTTGACTATCCTTGTTCGTGGAGCAGTTAACATCCACACTTACTATTTCTTAGACTAGGAAACTTCTCCACTGAGTTAGCTATAAAATGGTGTCCTAGTAAGAAGAGCTGACTAATGTTATACTTACCCACCCTAAAAAAAGATGGGAAACATGGGCCCCAGGGCGAGTCCACACATCAGAGTAGTATGACACAGCAGGTCATACAGTCCCAGTAAAAGTCCGACAGCAAGTGCTCACACGCCTCCTCCCACTCTCTGTTTCCAGCGGAGGTGGGTATGATACAGCCATGGGCTTTGTTGGATTTAAAATATGTGTGAAGAGAACTAGCCATCAAGTTCTGCGTAGCTGAGCTGAGTTTGAGCCATTGGGTTGGCCAGAGCCTTAACTGGCCGCTGTGAGCCGCTAGCTCTTCCCCTTGTGGGTGGTCCTGTGAGGGGCAGGGGGGTACGACAGCCAGTACTGTACCTGCTGAGCTCTGGGCATTGTGCTAGAGAAGCCAAGTTCACCCACTGAAGAGATGAGAAAGAGGGTCAGCAAGGCTAAGGTGGTTGCTCAAGATCGTAGCTCTTATAATGAAGCTGGTATTAGAAATGAATTAGATCTGGTTTACCTGAGTCCTGATTTCATGGGGAGCAAGGGTCAGCAAACCAAAAGGGCCAAATAATAAATATTTCAGGCTCGTGGGCCTAAAATATCACCATCTTTACTGCAACTACTCAGATGTGCCAGGGTGGCTTGAAAGCAGCCATAGACAATATGTAAATGACCAGGCATGATTGTGTTCTAATAAAACTTTATTTATAAAGACCGGTGGTGGCCCACGGGCCATGGTTTGCTGACCCCTGAGTTAGAGGAATCTTGAGACTTCAGTTCATTAGGGAAGAAAACATTGATCTCCCCTGAATTTGCTGCCTAGCTGTTGGGGATTGATTGCAACTGGGTGCTCAATTGAAAATGTGTTTACAAACAGGAAATGCAGTGAAAACGCAGATCTAGGTTAAGATAACTCTGGCTAGTAAAGGTGAAACAGCCTATGTTTTCAGTCCTTTACAGAATGGAGAATTGTAAATTATAAATCATGGCTTTTGGGGGTGGGGCACGTCTCCATGAAGAGACATGGTAAGAGTAACTTTCAAATCTTGCGGCTCTCATGTAACAATTGAGAGCCCCTGTAGCAGTGGTGTGCATGAGGTGGTCACCGGTAGACCGGACGCTGTGACCGAGAGGTCAGTGTGTGTGCATTTCCCACCCCTCTGCAGCCCAGCCCCAGTCGGCGAGAGGACCGGCCCGTCAGCTTCTACCAGCTGGGCTCCAACCAGCTGCAGTCTAATGCTGCATCTTTGGCCAGAGATGCCGCCAGCCTGGCCAAGGACAAGCAGAGGAGCTTTGTGCCCAGCATCTTGCAGAACGAGACGTACGGCGCGATCCTCAGTGGCAGCCCGCCTCCCACCCAGCCTGCGGCCCCCAGCACTGCCAGCGCCCCCCCACTACCCCCACGGAACGTTGCCAAAGGTACTGACCTGCTGTAGCTCCTGCCAGCGCATGAAGGGCATGATTTGGTTTTTGCTTTGGCAAGTTTATGGTTGCTTTGCTCCCTGCCAGATGACATTTGGGGTCTTTTTTTTTTTTTTGTCTTAGAGTTGTTGGCCTCCTAAAGGAGCTCTTCATTCTTAGGGTTCTGAATGGTGATAGAGCATCTGACTTGATCCTTGTTCTGGGTAGAGGTGTGGCATCTGTGTCTCGTGGGGAGTGCGGGGACCCCACCCGGGCAGGCTTGAGGTGGGTGGCTCAGCTTGTGATGCTGGTCCTGTGACACTTTCCTGCAGACCTTCTTCCTGTTCCTTTTCTCTCTGCTTTTACCACTCACCCACCTTCATTCTTTCCCGTTTCCTTTCACCCAGCCCCCATTCAGCCAGCTTGTGGTGCCTGTGATTATTTTTTATCTCTGTGATCCCCATGAAACGAAGGATAAAAAGATGCTAATTTGGGGAAGGATACTCAACCTCATTGTAAAAATAGAAAATAATCCCGCGGGTCCAACCAATGCCTTAAGGGCCAGAGCTTGCTCTGCTTACCTTAATTGCTTGGTCCCAACAGAATGAGTTGGACTCAACAGATGCTGGTTTTTATTTTTGCGAAAATGGAAACTGAGGCCCCCAAAAGTTAAGTGATCGTCCCAGGACTGAAGGCCAGCTGGCCATTCTGCTCCTTGAAGGCAGGTCCGGCAAGTGGCCAGCGCAGCTCCTGGCCAGTGGCCTCCAGAGGGCATCCCATGGGAGGGGGGGACAGAGCCCCGCGGGGCTCGGTGTCTGGGCACGGTGGCTGCCGTGGGCTGCTGGTCCAGAAGGAGGTCCCACGGTGCAGTGGTGCTCCGTCTGCTCTCCGGGAGGGGGTGTGAGCGACGGTCGTGGCCTGGCTGTGGGAGTGAGCGCGGCAGCTGCCATCAGCTGGCCCTGTGCCTCACCCCCCATGGGGCCCTGCCCCCAGCACCCAGGGGGATCCCTCAGGGAGGCCAGAGAAGGCTGACGGGGGCCTGTCGTCTAGGTCACTGAATCGCACCCCCAGGAGTGAGTCCCCGAGAGGAGAGCAGGTGCTACCCGGCAGGCCCCGGAAACAGTGGCCCCACCTCCCCGACAGATCCACGGCCCCTGTGTGCCCACACCCCAGGCAGTGCCGCCCCCGGGCTCGAGGGGGCGCTTCCTGCGCAGGAGAGAAGCTGCAAGACCAGGCCCCACAGCTGCCCTCCTCCCTGTCACCTCCTTGCCCTGGCTGGGAGGGGCCCATGGTCGGGTCCTCGTGGGGCCTCTTGTCTCCCCAGCCTCCTCCCGTATCCTGTGTGCGGGTATTAATTTTGTAAGGCCGGAGCTAAAATGGTTTGGTCATCTCCACCCCATTAATGGCTTTTACTGACTTGTGTGTCATGGGAGGATTTTATTTTGCTCTGTTGGGCATGTAAAAGGAAAACTTCATCTTTTTTTTTTTTTTTTGCTTTTGCTTTCCTAAAGTCTTAGAATGAGATGGTTTGGGATTTTTTCTGACTTCTTTCTTTCTTTCTTTTTTTTTTTGGACTATTCCTGTAGTTAGCTTCATGTCCTCCTTTGACGGTGTAGATTGTCCTTCTTCCCTGTAGCCCCCCAGAGAGTCCCTCTGGTTCTCAGTCTAGCCCACACCTGGCCCAGCAGGGAGTCCCCGCACAACAAACAGCAAAGGGAGTCAGCATTGCATGGCCCGCACCAGGGCAGACGTCGTCCACAGCCCGCATTCCTCCCCAGGCCTGGCCCCCTGTGTGGTGACCCCCTGTGCACGGAGCTCTGTGGGGGCAGAGATGGTGACGGAGGCTGTGCTGGCTCCCCTGTGTGTGTCCGCTGCGCCCCCTGGGTGTCATGTGTGCTGACTTTTAGCCAGAAATGTTTGCAGGAGGTGGGGAGCCCGTCACCTCTTTCTGGTCTGCACCCTTCTCTCCTCGTGCTCTGAGAACAGGTGCTCCCCTGGGCCAGGCAGTGACGCTCACACAGCCACGGGAGGACTTAGGGAGCGGGGAGAGGCAAGCAGACGTTCCAGAACCTGAGTGCAGGGCTCAGGACATGTCATGGTGGTTATTCGTTTTCCTCTTCAAACAGTATTTATATTTGAGAAAGAAAATCAGTAAGGTTGTGAAAACCAGCTGGTAATTTTCCCAGAAGCATCCTTGGTCTGATGTGTGTAAGTCTCTTTCGTCCAGATGCCAGAGACAAAAGTTTCTTAAAAAATAAGGATTCTGTTTGTGGTCTTAGCGCTATTCTAGAAGGGTCATATTTACCATTTTCTGAGAGAGGGGATCAGTAATGCAGTGTTCTGTTTCTGTTTTTGTTCTGTGCGTGTGCGTGTGCGTGCATGTGCATGTGCGTGCGTGTGCATGTGCGTGCGTGTGCATGTGCGTGCGTGTGCAGTTCAGACAGCCTCCTCCGCTACTGCCCTGTGGAAGACAAACTCTGTAAGTGTGGACGGTGCAAGCAGGCAGCGATCTTCGTCAGATCCGCCAGCTATCCATCCACCGCTGCCCCCTCTCCGTGTGACATCTACCAGTACGTTTTCTCCTTTTTCCTTTCTTGCCAGTGGGCTCTTGGATCTGGATGGCTGGGAGGTGCTTTTGGCAGCCACGTGGGGAGAGCTGCGAAGCCGCATGCCCACAGGCAGAGGCTGCCAGGAGCCCAGCCCTGTGTGTCCCCCCCACCACCACCCCTACCAACCCCTCCAGCCGCCCTCCCCAGCTGCAGACTCCTGTCTGTCCCGCATCCCGCCTGGGGGGGGGGCTCACACACTCTCCTCCTCTGTCTTCCCGAGCACCTGAGCAACATTCCTTCCTTTCATGCACCAGCCCAGGGCTTCATTTCCTCTGGCCATTTGGTGGTTCTCAGTATTTGGGCACAGTCATGTGGATGTGATCTGGTATGTGTTCTTCTTCAATGTCAACACGTGGGTGAAAGGCCCAGGGCCTAGGGGAGGGGGCTGGGGGGGAGGAATGTCTTTACTGGATCAGTGGGGCAAGCCCTGAGCCTGTCTCCTTCCTGCTCTGCGTGGGCTGTGGGAGGGAGGAGCTCCAGCCTGAGGGGGCAGGCTTTGAGAGCACTGAGTTGTACCCAGGTTGTTCCTGCGATTTTTAACCTAAGCAGCAGCCCAGCTCCAGCTGCAGAAAGTGCCACGTGTGCGTGCACTGGAGGCCCTGGAAGGTTCCGTGGGTGTCCCCCGTCCTGTCCTGAGCGTGGCTTCGGCCTCAACGAGGATGGGCATGAGGACCCTGGGTATTTGGGAGCAGCATGAATGTTTGTTAGAGAGGGGGAAGCTGGTAAAGGAGCCAGGGGCTCAGGGCCCAGCTCCCTGTCTTACCAACTCTCTAACTTTTGGGGAAAGCACGTCACTTTGAGCCTCAGCCTCCGAGTCTGTAAATAAATAATAACCTCTTTGCCCTGCTCCCCTCAGAGATTGTGGAGCCTTTACAGAGTTAGTTCTTTACAGGCTGTCTCAGATTGACCTGCTGGAAGCCTGGGGAAATGGGTAGGACCCATGGGTCAGCTGAGGACCGAGCTCGCCGGGGGTGGGACTGGGGCAAGACCCCAGCCCCAGCTTCAGCCTCCTGCTGCTGTCTCTCCAGGTCTCAGGGTGGCTTCCCCACAGAGGAAGATCCTCACAGGCTCATAGAAACGTTTTAATCCTAACTTGAGGCTTGGAAGGACTCCCTGCCAATACGGTTTTCTAAAAATCTACAATGAAAGGAGGGTGTTTTCCCTCATGAAATCACCATTAGAAAAAAAAAAAAAAGCCCTTACCAGAAGAGCCTCTGGTGAGAAGGCTGGGGATGTGACGAAGTCTGACCCTCTGTATTCCTCTCCTTTTCTCTTTCCACAGATCCCCTGGCTCCCACTCCGCCCCCTCCAGTAGCAAAAACACCCAGTGTGATAGAAGCCTTGAGCCAGCAGAGCAAGCCGGCCCAGCCTGGGATCCCACTGAGCAAAGCCCCGCCCCCACCACCCAGCCGCCTCCCCCAGAAGAGGCCTGCTCCCGGGTAACCGTCTTCCAGCACCCCCCACCAGGGCCTGGCCGAATTGCCATTCTTGCTTCTTGCATTCAAGGTTCCAAGTGCCAGTGGCCCCATTACTTCATCTGCTGAAATTTCTGTACAAACATTTGAAATCTCCACATAACATTTGAGCCCAGGTGTCACCTAAGTAATTCATCAGGGTCAAGTGTCTTAAAAATAACTTACCAAGAATTTTTAAACTGTGAAAATTTCACACAAATGTGTACCTTATATCCACATAATGAATTTAGACTTCTGTTTAGTACAGACATTGGGTTTTGGGAATTAAAGTCAAGATGCTAGGCCTCTAGGTTCAATTTGTTGCTCACTCACAAGGTTCTCTTGCTTATATGCACCCTCTGCAGTGTGGGGCGTATATTTCCTACAAACTAGGATGTTCTCCTGCATCAACACGATACGGCCACACAGTCAGAAAATTAACAAAGACACATGACTACCTTCCAAACCTCAGACCCCATTCAAGGTTTGCCATTTGTCCATAGAACATCCTTTACCAAGAGGGATCTAGTTCATGGTCTCAAGCTGGAAAATGGTTTCGTTTAGTGGCAGTGATACTTAGAAGCCAAGATCTGAGTGCTTTGTGTGCTCATTGCTCTCGGAGGGTCGCCGCTCCCAGGCAGGCCCTCTGAGTGGTCAGGACCGGGGATACACACACGTATATGCCTAGGTGACCATCCGTGTAGATACACATTTATGAACACATTTATCTCTGTATTTCTATCTCGTCTTGAAATCCGTGAGTTCACGCTATCTCCCATTGCAAACCATACCAAGACACAACCATTTTATTATGCTCCCAGACTGTGTCAGGAATTTGGATTAGCACAGTGAGGATAGCTTGTCTTTTTCTCCACAATATCTGGGGCCCTAACTGAAAAGTTTCAGAGGCTGGGATGGTTCGACACAGAAAGTGACTCATAGGCGAAGGGCTCATAACCCCTCTCCACTCCGCGCGTCTGGTGGTTGGTGCTGGCTTTGGCTGACGCTGTTGGCTGGAGTACTTACCGTACGAGGCCTCTCCGTGTGGTGAGGGCTTCCTCAAATCGTGGTGGCTGGGCCAAGAACGAGTCCCAAGAAATAGGCACAGCCCTGGAGAATGTCACTGGTCAGGGTTGAGGTGGGGACAGTGCAGGAGCACAGAGTGGTCACAGACTCCAGATCTCGGGAAAGAATTTGGGGCAGTATTTTCAAAACACCACAGGGTTCATTCTCATCCTCTCCCTCTCTGTGCTCCTTACTCCCTTTTCCAGTGGTGAGAAATCTGGCTCCCATCCCTGCCTCCACCTTTCCTCTCCCTGCTGAGATCTGGGGTCCCCCATGGAGGTCTTCTTCACCCTGCTGGGGTGCTCTCACTGGCCCGCCAGGCAGCTGCCTGCCTTGTCCCCCTCAGGCACACCCTGTCAGGCCTCCTGTCCCTGCTGAGGCCCTGACTCCCCAGGGCGGGTCTTTTTTCATCCATGCCACCAGGTAGATGATGGAGTCTTTCAGGATAGAAACTACATCCTTCAGTTCTTTATCTCCCGGGCCCAGGGTTACTTCCTGAGGGAGCGACTGGGTAGGGGCGCCTCTGGCCAGAACCAGTCCCAGGGCTCCACCTGGAGGCCGGGGCTGGAAATGCAGCTCTGTACAGCCGAGGGGCCGCGCTCTGCCACCTTCTAGCTTCCATTTCTCCGTTGCTGGCTCGCTTTTTAAATCTGCCTTCTGGGAGATTTTCCTCATTGTATCTTCCAGTTCTTTTATTGAGCTTTTCATTTCCACTATCACATAATTTTCAAGTTAATAGTATCCTGTTTGTTTCATGGAATCGTTTTCTCTCATCTCAGATTATTAATGATGGGTTCGGGGCAGTGTTTTTGTTTATGTTAGCTTTTGCTTTTCTGAATAATTTGTTTCTTCCATGTCCATTGTCTTTGTTTTCACTTCTGTTATGTTAGAGCCTTTTTCCTATAAATCTGGTGTTCCCTGCCCAGAAGTTGGCACTTCAGCTGAGGCATTAAAACTGATCGCAGCCCTCATGCGCAGAGTTGCCAGGTGGGCTTGGCTGTAGAGAGTCTCACGGGGCACTTTCGCTGGGGAACCCTGAACTGGGGCTTTTTTTCTTGAACAACTCAGGTTCCTTAGAGAACAGTCTTTGTTTCTTGCCTGAAGGGATCCGGTTTTCTAGGAGTTGAATAAAGAAATAAAGTTAAGCTTTTACTTAGTCCCCCCCCCCCTTTTTTTAAGAGAGGTGGGGCAGGGGCAGAAGGAGAGAGAGAATCTCAAGCAGACTCCACGCTGAGGGCAGAGCGCAACACGGGGCTCGATCTCACGATCCTGAAATCATGACCTGAGCCGAAATCAAGAGTCAGACGCTTCACCAACTGAGCCACCCAGGAGCCCTTAGTCCCCCTTTTTTAAAGATGCTCCCCAAAACCGCACTGGTGTACTCCCTAGTCCAGACATGCTCTATTCTACCCTCTCCAAGAATAGAAACTTCTGGTCTTCAGTGGGTTGAGGGAGGGTAGTTGCTACTCGGGGTTGGGCTGGGAATCCAGGGATTCAGTAGCTCCTTGAGCAGATTTTGGGCCCATCTGTGTTTACTGCCCTGCCTTACACCCCCCCGCAGGGGCTTATAAGCCTTGGGGGCTCAGAGCACAGATGGGGGTCCTTCAGGGCTTCCTCACTGCGCAAAGGGTCCCCCTCCGTAGGTGAGCTGGCATGGTTAGGATCCGTCCCTCCAGTGGCCACTTCCAAAATGTTTCCTCTTCAGGTTCTCTTGGTACTTTTTTGGTTTAAGTTTTTTCTAATCTTTTTCCTTGGGAGAAAATGGAAGTAAATGTATTTCAGTCTGCCTTTTTTTAACCAGAAGACTCTCAGCACTTTTTTCATACTGCTTTGTGAGATCTCTTTCTAAAACATAGTGTGTTACATCCTTGCCTTCCTGTTCTAAGTGGCACGTCCGCGGTCTCCGCGGCTACTGAGTTACGCAGTAGGGGGGAACGCTCTCATGTCTACGCTGAGTGGCCGCAGGCTGTGCTTCTCTGGGTTCCTGCATCGGGGTCTGCGTCTTGCTTCAGCTTGCCCCCCTCTTCCCCTGTCGTAGCTGCAGACTTGCTCTTCCCGGGCTGTTCTCCCAGTTGCCAGCTCCCGTTTGAGGTCCTAGATGAGAGCCGGCCGGCGTGCGGTGGCTCCGAGCGGGGTGTCGCTGCCAGTGCCCGGGGCTGGGCACGGCCTGGCTGGGGGTGCTTCATCTCTGGCACCGTCTTACCTGGTTTTACCTGCTTCTTGGGATCCTCTCCTCTCGTCTGACCAGAGGGGAGGTGGGGAGGGGGCAGAGTGGATGAGGCGAGGGTATCTCCAAGACCACTTTGGATGGGTGGAAGCCTGCCCTCGCCGCCTGGTGGGGTTCTGCTGCGAAAGAATACGCTGGTGGGGCCTCTTGGTAGAGGAAGCACCACCCTGGTCTTACCCTGGGTGTACATCTGGGATTTTACGCGGGCTCTCTTAGAGCAGGCCTGATCAGCCCCACGCCTATTTTTGTATGGCCCACAAGCTAAGATGGTTTTTGGTTTTTAAATGGTTGAAAAAACCAAAAGAAGTCTCTGTCATGACACGCGACAATCATGTGAAATTCAGATTCCAGTGCCCGCACATACAGCGTATGGGGCATGGCCCCGCTCGGGTTTCTGCGTTCCCCGGGGCGAGTGCCGTGTGTCAGCACGAGATTTCGTACACAGGGCCTGGAATATGTACCGCCTGGCCCTTCAGAAAAAGGGTTCGCTGACTGGTGTCTTCAAGAATCGGGCCTTTCCTGGGGGCCTTCCTTAGTTGGGGGTGACTGAAGGCAAAGGGGGGGGCAGTATGATGACTTCTGTCCTGACATTGATGGACATCACACGGCGAGACCTGTCAGGTGGGTGGGGCCTTCACTTGGTAGGTGTTGTTAGTTTCTTGAAAGTATCGTAAACTCAGTGCAATGTTTTCTTCACCTTCGGTCTGAGCACAGATGGCTCCCTTGGAAGGAGGAGGGGGTGAGGTGGGGGTTGAGAAGGTACCTGTGGGGCCTCAGGCACCAGTAAATCTACTTTCCCCTTCTTTTAGGGCTGACAAGTCGACCCCACTGATGAACAAAGGCCAGCCGAGAGGACCTGGTAATTCTTTCATTTGGCCCCGGGGCTTACTGCTGCTTCCGCGGGGCAGCATGGGAGAGGTTTGGGCTGCAGCTGCGCCCCTGCCTTCCACGGAGCCTCTCCTGCTCCCGCTCCCAGGCTGCTCTGTACTGTGTCCTGCCTCCCTGTCCCCTTCGGGTGGGGCCAGGCAGGGACCTAGAAATCTGCAGAGGAGCTGGCAACACCTGTCCCGCTCCGTGACACTCACATGCCTTGCACGTTGGACAGAGGCTGCATGGAAGTCACAGCTGCTTGGGCCTTTGAGGGACTTTTCCCTCCATAGACCCGGAAATCTCTGGAAACCTGCCCTTCAGACATGATGCTGTGGCAATTATATTAAGTGTTCATAACTCATTGGTTATGCCTGAGGGCATATTGTGACGTTGATTCATTTTGGCCCTACAGGAGTGGATCTCTCTGGAACGGAAGCTCTGGGTCCTCTGTCCAACACTGCCGTCCTGCAGCCCCCAGCCCCCATGCCCAGGAAGTCACAGACAGTAAGTGGAAGAGCCCCTCCTTTCCTGCCTCTTTGCTCGGGCCGGCAGTGAGCAGGAGACTCTCCAAGGAAACAGGTCTTCCCCTCTTCCCCTTGGGGGCGGATGGGAGGCCTCTTCCTGGATCTGGGCAGGACACAACCCCAGAGCTCTCCAGCCGGTGGGCTCAGCGCCCTCAGCACGGCTCCAGGACGGACCCCCACATGCACCCCAGGCACCAGGCTGCCTTACTCCTAGCTCTCTGCACTCAGCTGGGATGGCTTAGCTTTTCCCTGGGCCTCCCGGAAGTCCCCCAGCCCCTGAGCTACACCGATCCGCCCATCTTGGCACCTGTGGGCTCCCGAGCCTGTGGTCCGGACCCCTGGGACCAGTTGGAAACAAAGTGGCCCCCTTCTCTGCCCCAGGAGCTGACGCCTCCCTGCCACACTGACCTCTGACCCTTCCTCTTCTCAATACAGACCAAGTTAAAGCCCAAGCGGGTCAAAGCTCTCTATAACTGTGTGGCTGACAACCCAGACGAGCTGACGTTCTCCGAGGGGGATGTGATTATCGTGGATGGGGAGGAGGACCAAGAGTGGTGGGTGAGTCGGGGGCCTGGGCCCGGGCTGTGCCTGGGAGGGCTGGAGCTGAATCCTTGCCCACGTGACCTGCGAGGCCTGCTCCCGGGTCAGGGCCTCTGCCTGTGCATCCTCGGGACTGCTGGCCGTTCTGTTCCCTCAGACGTCTCTGCCAGGGACACCCACTTCTGTGTGGGCCTCACTTATCCCCCCGGGGTGGGGGGTTCTCTCACATTAGGGTGCAGACCACTTGGGCTGCAGTTTCCAGAGTGCACTTCAGGGTCTGAAATGAGGCTTTGAGTTTAGAGGTGGTACTGTCGTCCCCCACATCGCCCATTTGGTGGAGGGAGGCATACAGAAAGCTGACCTAGGGGGCAGAGTCCCTGGCTGTCGGCCTTGGTCCTGAAACGAGCCGTGACATCCAGGTGGGGGCTGGAATGGCGTGAACGTGGTGTTTCGCCGGGTGGCCCTAAGAATCCAGACTGAGCACTTAACAGACTTGGTGACGTTATGTCACTAAGCTTTAGTCCCCTCGTCTGTGAGAGGGAAGTCACCTCAGCACCACAGGAGAGAGGATACAGTAAGAGGCTGTATTAACAACGAGGACAGCGGGCCTTGCGTGGGAGGCTGGTAGTGTTTGCACGCAGTAGACACCAAGGGCCCAGGCCTGGAGGTCGAGCTCGGGGGTCGCTCTGCTCTGTCGAGTGCAAGGCACATCAGGTGGTGCCCCTGGCAGAGGGAGCCTGATGAACTCCGTGCCCTGCCTCTTTCCCCTCACGGGAATCTCGGGTGTCCGTTAGCCAGAGCTCCCCCTTCTGTCAGCCTAGCCACACCCAGCAGCCAGGCAGGAAAGGGGCTGCCGCTTGTGGTTCTGGTTCCGGCAGGTGTGCGCCCACAGTGGGCGGGCCTGAGCTTACTCCCTCCCCGACTGCCCCCCGTGCCCCAAGAGCTGAAGCAGGTCTGGCTTTCACGCTTGTGGACAACGCGGCGTGAGGCGGGGCTCCAACCTGGCAGTGGGCTCAGCCATCTGGAACATACTAAGGTGTACAGAGGAAATGCTGCCCATAAACTCAGCAGCGCCCCCCCAGCTTACCAGGTGTATTACAGAGATTTTCTTTTTGACTTTTACTTACCTACCTAATTTACGTTTCTGAGATCATACTCGGTGTATAACTTACATCATTTACCCAGAGTGAAAATCAGTGGATCCCTTCAAGCCTTTCGTAAATGCTTGACTACGTTTAGAGCCCACTCAGGCGTTTGCCCCTTTCTGTGACTTTGCAACTCACAGACTTCTGACGCTCGGTTTCTCCATTAAAGAAAAAAGAGGCAAGTGGGGGGCAGGAGCCGGACAGCTGTCCTGCCATCCCCACCCCCCACCGCCCCGGACGCCAGGACCCCGGCGCGTGCGCTTCCAGGCAGACACCTGGCCCGCCTGCCCGAGCGCTCCCTGACAGTGGGCGGCCACCGCAGTTGGCCCTTGAACAACGTGGGGGTGGGGTGTTTTCTGGTAAACGCAGGATAGCACTTAAATGTACTTCTTCTTCCTTGCGATTTTCTTCACATTTTTTCCTCTCTAGCTTACTGTAAGAACACAGTATGTATAATACAATATACAGAATATGTGTTAGCCGACTGCTCATGTTATCTGTAAGGCTTCTGGTCAACAGTAGGCTATTAGTAGTTAAGATTTTGGGGAGTCAGGAGCTAGACGCAGATTTTCAACTGCAGGGGGTGGGGGTGGCACTTCGAACTTCCAGGTGGTCAAGGGTCAGCTATATTTGAAGCACGAGTGAAAGAAAAAAGGGAAAACAGTTCAGATGTCTTACCCAGGTCATTCTTTCTCAGAAGAAATTGTTCTGAACAAATTTCTTTTTTCCACATGCTATAGCATTGTCCTTCGAAGTTTCTAACATGTAGAATTTTTGTAACCACCTAACCTTTTGTTCATTTCAGATTGGCCACATTGACGGGGATCCCAGTCGCAAAGGAGCCTTTCCCGTGTCATTTGTGCACTTTATTGCTGACTGAATTGCTACTGAACAAAGACACTCCTTTTAACAGTTGTGTTCCTGTTTGTTACTGGTACCAAAACTCTTGCCAGATGACCAGTTTCATGAAATATATTGTCCGGTAGCCCACTTTCTCTAACTCCGCTCTTCTGTTTTACAAACTCAAAGGCAACTTGTATGTATAAATGAATTGTTTTTATAATTTGTGGTTTTCATGAAATACTGCCATACTTTTATTAGGGAAAAAACGGAATTTCCTAGAAGGTGAACTGAAAAGTTATTTTAACTCGACGTGATCAAGGTCGTCAATCTACAGAATTAGCTGAACCTAAAAGTATTTGAGTATTAGAAAGAAATTCTTCCAGCCTTTCCTTGGCCTGCTTCTAGAGTCGGTGACCCTTTAGTGCAGGTTTTTAGGAAGTTGGTAAACTTGCTTTAGAAGTAGCCCAGCCCTGGACTTTCTAGATAAAATGCTATCAGTTCACCTTTAAAGACTTTTTTTTTTTTTAAGATACATTTAAAGATTTCCTTTGGAATCCACCCAAGGTTTAGTTAAAGCAACTTGGAAATTTACACCTTAGCATTGTACTTTTCCAGCCCTAATTTGTGAGGTTGCAACTCTCATTGTATTCTGCATGTGCGTGTAGCCTGTTGTGAACAATCCTACCTAGCAAAACTACCCATGGTTTATTACGGCATATGGTAATAGCTAATTCAGTTCCACGTTCTATAAACCTGCATTTCCTGAATTTGGTTAAAAACTAAGGATGATGGATTGCAAAAACAGTTCTTTACACTAGTTTATATGCTTTAGGTGTTTCGGATTCGCCTTCTCGACCCTCCTCGGTCACGCAGCTAGAGCACTGTGGTGCAGACCCCACTGTTAACACTGCTGTTTCCCACTGAGTGTACCACTGCCTTCCCTCTCCAGCTCCCGGGAATGTTTACTCAACTTAGTGTCTTGTACTTATATACTATACCAACAGGAACGGTATTACACTGTCTTGAACTCGAAGCTGTCCATTTGTTTGTAATCAAGAGCATATCAGAAATCTGTAGGTCCCAGGTAATAAAACACTCCCGAGCAGACATCCCCATTTCACGACCAAAGTCCATCACGTCATTCTTAAACGGAAGCTCCTGGGGGTGGGGGGGTTAGGTTGTGTGTGATAAAATCAGAATTCATTAGTTTCACGAACTTGACTGTCATACCTCTATTTAGTAATTGTGAGCCTAAGATTCGTAATAGGAATATTGGACATTTGGGCACTCTTTGAGAATAAATAGGCCTATAATGCCCACTCGGATTTCTACCGGAAGTGAAGGGATAAGTGTAGGTCTGGGCTTGGAAAGCGAGGCAGCGATCCTTTCATCCATGGTGGCGCTGGTACATTTGATTGGAGCAGCCCATCTTTACTAGGCAAGACTCTTCTAAGTGCAGAGCCTTTTTTTTTTTTTTTTATTGCATTGTACTTTTTGTTGCTATTATAAAGGAAAACAGAACAAACTGGAATGTTTTATGATGTTGTATGGCAATTGCTTTTTAAAGCCTTTCGAAGTTCCGGGTAAAAATGTGTCAGATTTTTTTTTTTTTTTTAAAGCACTACATCTGTTTTCACTAATTGTTAATTTCTGTTGTTTGAACCCTTCATTTAGTTAATTCCCTCACAGATTTAAGAAAGTAAACAGATATACTTTGCACGGTGCACTTCTTATGTGTATTTTAACAAAGTCCTCTTGCATCTGTGTTTTATAATCAGCCTTTTGACTACTTGGTGCCAGATATCTAAGGAATTAAAGTTGAGTCTCACCAACATTTAAACACCAGTCCCAAACTAATCTGTCAGGTTCACTGGTACATAAATATCTTGGAAATATTTTTTCCAGCTGACAATTTGGTGGTGCTGTTGTGCAGTAATTAATATTACTCTTGCCAGAGGAGAAATTATATTAACTTCCCCACTAACATCCTTTCCTAGTTATTTGCTCTTTGCAAATTAAAAAACAACTGAGAGGAAGGAAAACATTGTAGATAACTATTTATATTTAAAGTTTACATTTCATGAACTTAGCTGCAGGATCCCGGCATTTTGCATGCCATTTTCCATCAGATCTGACTTCTAGAGATGAGGACTCCAACATGTGCACAGACTCCTAGGTCCTGTGTGATCTGCTACGGGGTGGAGAGCATAAATATGCAGCTCGGAATGCTGTTTGAGATGTATGATACTCGATTCGTTCACTTGATTACTTCGATCTAGTTGCAGCGCAACTGTGTATATTGTATAACCTAAATCGATTCTTATTTTCGTTGTCCTTGATGCAGTGATTTATAATTAGAGCATGTTCAGTAAGTTGACTCTTCCTGTTAACTAGTCATTTGACTGGAAAAAAATAAAATACTTTTAAATGGACATAGTGTTATTTGTAATGTTTTTAATCCTTTAAGCACTGCATATTAAAATGGTCCTTTAGAAAAACCCACTAGCCTACTGTGCGTGAGATTCTTTCGACACTGTTATTTAACACGCGCGGTGATCTTTCTTCTCTGAACTCCGAGGTAAACACTTTGGTTTACTAGCATGCCATCCTGACATACACTTCTAAAGTTTTACTTTTTGTGAGCTGAGATGGCAGTCTTGCTGTTCCAGACCAGTGTGACCAGAGGTGCCAGCCAGTGGGCCCACGTGCTGCGCAACAGACAGCATTCGTCCTCCTCAGAAAGCCCTCTGCGCTCACCTACTCACTGCGCGCACGTCTGTCACACTTAGGTGTTAACGCTCATTTGTGTTTAAAAGTGACTGACGGGGCGGGGGGCGCCTGGGGTGGCTCCGTCGGTTACGTGTCTGCCTTGGCTCAGGTCATGATCCCGGGGTCCTGGGATCGAGCCCCACGTCGGGCTCCCTGCTCAGCGGGGAGCCTGCTTCTCCCTCTCCCTCCCCCACCCTCCACTCCTGCTCTCTCTCTCTCTCAAATCTAAAAAAATAAATAAAAGTGACAGATGAGGTTTCTTTTTTAGTCCCAGAAAGCCAACAACCTCATTGAGACTTAACTCACTGTAATAAGACACATTTTAATAAAAAAGCAAATGATCACTATTTTATACACTGCATTTCTCCAGAAAATCTCGAGCAGGGCATCACTTTCTATTTCCAGAGTAATTCAACACTGCAGATTGAAAACCATCGCCCTTCCACACGAAGTCAGCTTCCACTAGATTGCAGAATTCAAGCCTTCTCAGATGTTAATACAGAGTCAAAAGCGGTGGATAAAACTTTGCAGATGGCTTGTGCCTGTTCCTACGGTTAAGTGAAAAACATAGAGTAAGAGACTTCACCGACCTCTTCCTGAATTAGTGTGGCCAGCAAAGGTATAAATGTGACCCTCTTAACAGCCCCCCCACACCTGCCCACCAACAGCTTTGGGAAGCCCGGACACCACGTCCCCCGGGCCGCCTCGTGCGTCCCCTCCGGGAGAAGCACCTGCGGACAACATGTAGGAACTGGGCCTTTGGGAAGGACGCCGATGCGGCAGTGGGGTGACGGCTACAGAACAGGACGGGCTTCCGCCCCGGCTCTGCGTCTGCCCTGCCCTTGAGATGCCCGCAACGGGTGAGTGCTCGTCCCGGCCCAACTGACCGCCCGCGGCAGGTCCCGGCAGCTGGCTGACCGCCGGCCTGACGGTCACCCGCACTCTGCCGGGCGTCAGATGCCCTGTGGGGGGCATCTCCTCGGCCTCCCAGAAGACTGGCCGTCTCCTCTGGCTTTACCACCTTGCCCGGTGAATGAGACGAAGCAAGGCAACGTGAAACCTCACCAGGCTGTTGCACTGATAGACCCAGAGGCTGTACTCCTCGTAGCTTGCGTCGGTGGTCTTCAGGGCCAGTAAGCTCTTTCCGGCCCCCAGACCGTCGTCGTAACACACCATGCGGATGATTAAATACAGAGCATGCCGGTGTAAGACATCCTGCAGAAGTCAGGAAAAAGAAAGATCGGGACTCTTGACATATTGACCTTTCTCTGCAGAATTTACTGTGAGGCTTCAAGCAGAGCATATCTATGCATCTGGCAGGAAACAGTTGTAGAGGTTTTTTTGCCCCCTAAGGAACATTCCAGAATGCTCAGTTATGGGGCCGCTTGCCTTCAGGGTTATCCCTTCCTACTAAAAATTCCAGAAAAACAGGAGTAAGACCTGAGTTCACGGTCCTGTTCCCTGTGCCCAGCGTCCGTGCTGACAACTGCTGAGCTGGCGCAGGGTCCTAAGCTGAAACCGCATTAGGGGCCAGCAGTGGGGGGTGTTGGCCGGGGCCCCACCATCCAGGAGAAGCAAAAGGAGGCCTCTCTTCATTCACCCTAAGAAATCGGTCATTTTTTAGGACCAGCTGCCAGGAATGTTTACCAAGCAACAGTTCTGCAAACGAGCAGAGAGAACAAGCGGGCCCTTAGCAGCCTGACTGCTAAGTACCTGAAACCCACTTTTTCCCTAATAAATTCTACTTACATACTGATCTGATGTTGATACTTTTATACCATACTTGGAAACTCCCATAATGAATTCTTCCTCCAGAGGAACGAAAGGCAACTTCCCATCTTGCTTTAAAGTAAAAATAAACCACATGAGCTACGTTAAAAAGTACGTTACATTCCTTAAATCGGATTAGTCAAGTTTAGTATCTGGCCATCACAAATCCAAACCCTTCCGAGAACGCGGGGTATGCAACAGCCCAGCAAAAACTGTTCCTCAAAGAGGCAGAAGGAAAATTGTCGCCAGGGTTCGGTTTGGTTTGGTTTCGTGTCCACAGACCTGAGCAAAATTCACAGCCATTTGTCTTGATGTCATCCCTAATGGCAAACAGAGATCCCGCTCACAGATCCCAGTGAGGCTTAAATATTTACGTTAGAAAAATAAAGGTATTTAGATTTTAAAATACTCAAAGCTTATGCCGATGTCAGCACAGGAAACCATCAGGAAACAGAGCTGCAGGAACCCCTCTTCAAAGCCATTTTACATCCTACCCACATGGTAGGTACGTCTGGGTGCCCCCACATCCCGGGGCTGTGAGCTTGATGTGCGGTTACTTGGAAACAAAACAGCAGATGATAGCTGATGGCTTCCCTAGCAGATTATCCTGTTTTATTCCCCTAAGTCAGAATACTGCCTAACTTGTCTAATGCCACAATAAAACAGAGAGTGGGCAATCAGTAGATGTCCCGTACTGTGAATGTCTGTATGGAACCATTTGCCTACATTAAAGAACTTCTGGTAAAGAAGCTGTGTCTGCACGCCTTGATTCTTGGGTCCTCACATGGCTACGGTAACCTCTTCCAGTGATTTCTCACAGTAGGGTTCAAGCATTCCAAGAATCAAAAGATGAGAGAACACTAACGCTATTGTCAATAATGGAATTTTGACAAGCCCGAAGACTACGGTGCTCTGAGAAACTCAGCAGTCGTTAACAGAATGAAAATGATCCTAGTGCACTTCTCAGGGGGGAACCCTTAGCAATCTTCTCAGTGTCATACTTCGGTGAGGTGTTGCTTGCACTCGTTGGAATGACCGATGCCAAGCCAAACGCTGGGATATTAAGTCCAGACTGCCCAGAGGTCTCTGTGAAACGCACATTCGACTGGCTGATGCCCCGCAGACAGAACTCCTGTGCTTTATGAGGGCACGAAGCATCGTATTTAGTGATCCCATTCTCCACGATTCACCAGACCAAACAGCCTTAAGAGTAACCAGCGCTCTAAGAACTGATAAGGGAATTTTTCCATTGTGGAAATAACCCTTTGTTAATAATACAAAGACCTGCGATGCCATTTTCTAGAAATTCAGGAAGCAACTTACTGTCTTTGGCTCATCCACTCCCACACTAGCAAGAGTACAGATCTTACAGAACTCGATGCACTGACCTTACACCTTGGCTTTGTCTTCGCTTTCATTCTTAATTTTCCTTCATGATCATTTCTTTTTTTTAATCTTCCTGACTGGGGTATGTTTTTGAAGCCCACCTCACTTCAATTCTTGTTGCTAACCGGGTGTGAGCGCATTGATAGGTCAATACCACTAGGAGGCTGATTATTGAAGGAGTTGCGACTAGTTCAATGGAGACCTGCTAAGGCCTGCCAGTCTGTTTTAAAAGACAGACCTATGGTGTATATAACCCATCACCGCACTCAGCTCCTCATTTAAACGAGGAAGTCAGCTCCCAAAAAAGTAGAAAGTGCTGTTTTTGAAGGAAAGAACTCCCCATTCCCATGGGACTCTGTCTCTAGGCACCTTGTACCACCTGTGATCACAGTGCTCGATAAATATTTTAACAATGATAAAAGCAGAACATCTTTCTCCAAAGCCATGAATTTATTTTCTAGAATGTTCTAAAATTTTTTAAAAAATTGTTTCTTACCTGGGCAACATCTATATAATTTATCAGGTCTAGGGGCCCTTCGAGACTTTTTCCTTCAGAGAATTTCAGTTTCTCAATGGCACCAACATATTTTATTCGAAATTCTGCACAGGTATCTGAATTGCTGTTGCTTTGTCCTAAAGGTGAAAGAAAAATTTTAACAGTAAGACTTCAAAAGAAATATCTGCATTACAGCGTGTCCTCAATCCCTTCACAAATAAAAAAGACTGTGTCATCAGAACTTAACCTTTAATGAAAATTTAAAAAATTTTAGTGCAAGATTACTTGAAGTAATAGGAAAGAACTTGGAATTTAGCCTCTTCCTCCGTGACTCTATCCTAAATGTATAAAAGTCTTAATAAGAATAAATTAAAACAGGAGAAAAATAAAATGCTGACTAGATAATGATTGAGTACCTTCCCGATACATTAAGATATTTAAGCTTTTTTTGGTTTCTTCTCCCTCTTTACCATGTTCACTGTTGTTTTCCGGATTCAGCAAATCTGGTCTACCTCTCCCAGTCAAAAAAAACAAATGTTTTTTTCCCTGCAGATGGAATAATGCCAGACAGGAAGTCTCTTCACATGGACAGATGTTAGGTTACACGACATGTGGCAACAGGCTGAAGAACCGTGTGCTGTAAAATCTAGCCGGGGCCAACATGGCCACAGTGCATTATGTGATCTGCCATGTTAAGGGGATACTATGTGGGTACTTCTAGGTTATGCTTATGTAAAAAAAAGACGCCCACATTTTTAATATTTTTAAGGCATCTGGAAGCAAAAATAATAGGCTTTGCGCTACTAGCTTCTCTTGTACATGATATGGTTCTTCATCCCACCCCTCCGTAGTCCCCACTTTTTACAGACTAACTAGTCTAGGATCCTGAAGGGATCTGCCTTCGGCTCAGGTCATGGTCCCAGGGTCCTGGCATCGAGCCCCGGATCGGGCTCCCTGCTCTGCGGGAAGCCTGCTTCTCCCTCTCCTACTCCCCCTGCTTGTGTTCCCTCTCTCGCTGTCTCTCTCTCTCTGTCGAATAAATAAATAAAATCTTAAAAAAAAAAAAGGAACATATTGCGCTGCTCTGGTGAAACCACATGAACACCGGTTACGAGCCGTACTAAACGGCCCAAGCCTTCTCCGTACCTGAGCTTTTGGTCGAATCTGTATCGAGGCTGGCCACAGTGCTGGATCGTGACAGCCCCCCAAGGCTAGAATCGACAGACTGAGAGACAATAAACAAACAAAAAGGTAAACAGAGTTAGACACACTGTCTTCTCTCAAATTCTCTACCAAACATTCAAATTATTTACTTATTACAGCTGAATCAACATAGACAAAAGCAGCTCAATTACTCAAGCAGATCGACTATGACAGATTTTTCTAAAGACGAGTCCTACAGCAAACTTCAAAACACCAGGTAGTCCCGCCTGCCCTTCCCAGAACACAACATCAGATAACCGTGGTGTGGACATTCCCAGCATGAACCAAATCCACCACCTCTGCCTCCTTGTCAGACACCTGCTACTCAGGCTGTGTGTGAAAATCTACACTTTGTTTTCACATGATCTCCACGGAACCCAAAAAGAACCCTGTGTGGAAGGCAGGCAGGGAGTATGATTCTATATAATCAAATGAGCAAAGACAGCCAGCGGGGTGAAGTGATTTGCCCAAGGTTACATCAAGGAACTAGCCCAGCCCTCCGATCAAGGTCTCCTCCTCCCCATCCCCATGCTCTGCCATTAGTCCGACTAGTACCTGGCCTGCTCGGTCATGCACGGGCCGGCTGGCAGACCAGAGTGCAATTATCAGTGTGAATTGCAAAGGAAAACCAACAAAATTGTTAAGCAAAACACGAATCATACACGTTAGCGTAGATTCTATAGAATTGTGCTCTGAATATGCTTCGTTTCTTTAGAAATAACATTCTGTGAAAACTTTTGATTCAAAAAATGAGTCCCTTCTTTGCACCTCAAATCAAAATTAAATTTTAAAAGAGCAATATACTCACATTTTTTCAATGTTCAAGAAGTGAATCAGGGTGAATGCAAAAATGTATCAGGTCTGGTAAATATGTTTTTTCCCTTTTTCGGTAATTGCTCTTCTTGGAGTAAAATGTAAAATGAGAAGAGAGCTATATGCACAGAGACGTTCCCCATAATGTTACATGTGGGACTGAACACCGGAAATACTGTACATACTCAACGGGTGAGGGGGAGGGAATTGGAATTAAGATGCTGTTATAAACTGAGACTGACTTCTGGGATGAGCACAACCCCCGAAGTGAGTAACAGAGTGAGCTTTTGTGCTCCAAACTACTCCCCCACGCTGGAAAGCACCAGTCCCCATTGAACCTCTCTGCACGAGGAGAACAGGAAGGGAGAAACTGGTCTGCTTTTCCCATGTCCAGAACAGACAACAAGGAGAGCTTACATCAACCTAAAACACACACCTCACAGTCAAAACTTGGCTTAGAGACCACACGGGGGTCACCACCATCTTCGGGGTAAGGCCCTCACTCGCAGGTGGCCCCCTTCTGCCCTCTCCAGCCCCGCTGGCCACATCAGAGAACCCACGGCTTGGAGCTAACCTCTCAAGCCATCAGCAAGTTCCCTTAGGAATCTGAAAATCTACTCCGCCAGCAGCGAGCCATCAAGTCTCCCTTTCTCCTTTCTCTGGTCTAGAAAACAAGAAGCAGGCCTGACCAGTTCCCCAGGCTGAGGTCCTCACACCAGGGCTGCAAAGCTAACAGCAGGGAGGTTCTTGACTAGCTTCAGTTCAAAAACCTTCAAGAAAACTCAGTCTTGCCACTCTAAGGCAGGATTCCTAAAACATCCAACTTCCGTGCTTCTGGCTAGGAGCATCTCAGCTCGGTGAAAATCCCGAGGGGCAGTCGTGTGTGTCTTCATTCACTGGGGTGTGGCCACCGTCGCTCGGGGTGGTGCCCACGGGCCAGCGTGGCCCATCCCCCCGGGGGAGGGCACCCCCTCTGCGCTGTGCCGTGGGCTTGTCCCCTGCCTCACAGCGTCCTGGCACTGCGCACGCTCGTCTTTGAAAAGAGAGAGCTCACGGGGTGGAGACTGTGAGAACCACGGCCTAGGTCCAGGGATGAGGACTCAGGCCTCGACGGTCCCTTCGCAGTCATATACCCGGCTTCTCTAGAGTCCTAAGCATGGCATTTGCCTCACGATCCAACTCACTCGCTATTAAGTAAGCAGACTTCTAGTTATGCACACACACCCCACACCCTGGAATGCAAGAGCTCCAGCCCCTGGATGGGCCTGCGATTTCGATCGTGTGCAACAGTTAAAAATCAGTGTTTCGGTGAGACCATTCACACGTCCTGTGCCATCCAGGTTCGTGAACTGAATCATCTCAGGAACTCTCCAGAACAAAAGAAAATTAAATCAAGCACAGGATGGGTCTCTAGTGCCAAAAATAAATGTCAAAACACACCTAGTTTGAGGACTACCAGCAGCTGCGCTGTGGCTAGGAGGCTCTGTGCGGGATCAGGAGAAACAAAATGCTCACTGCTTTGCCATTCTGGGCCTATTCCCAGCCCCCCTACCTTGCTCTTCGTACTGATTTCACTACTTTGGGAACTGCTGCTACTGTGTCGCTTTTTGCCTTTCCGGAACATTTTTCACCATAGCTTGATCCAAAGGAGCTCCCCTAGGAGAACAACTGGTGGTTAGTTAGAGCAAGAAAACCACCTCGAAATCACTTTATGCACAACAGGAATAAAAATCATCAATTCCTTCCCCGTCTGCGGTGCAGTCCTCCTACTGGAAACCGAAATCTTTTCCTTTGGCCACCAAATTTGGATACTATTGCTTCATTCTTTCTTTCTTTTTAAATTTGAAAAAAATAACCTAATGAACCAAAAGGACAGAAACCTTCCGTCATACCTGGGGGTGTGAAAAGCATTGTTCTGAGAAGTAACAGACACACATCATCTACTTCTCAAAATACTCAAGTGCCTCACTTCTCTTTAATCAATTCAAGACAGTAGTAAAATAGGTGACATGCTAGTTTACCAACCAAGATCCTGAGATTCCGTTGCTATCTTGGGCTGACATTCTGTAAATGGTAGGGCTTAGAACAGAAGACATAACTACCTCTCAGAAATGGGCATTTTTCTCAATGTCTTGAGCTACCTTTAAGTAAAAGTGGACACAAAAACATTCCCAGGCGCCAGCCCTCCCCTCCTCACTCTGTAAGGCCAGGGAAGGAGGTGACCTGAAGTTTTCCAGAGTCCGTCTTCCATGCATCTTTTTTAAAGTAATAATTAATGCCTGGGAAACAAAATTTATCCTTGCCCATTTCATAGGAGCACATCTAACTATTATACTTGAAAAATTATTAACTAACCTGCATAACAGTTTATAGTTCAAATACTTCCAAAGACATCATGTCACTTTTATCTTCACAACAACCTGGTGACACATTCAATTGCTCCGGATGTTTTTTAAAGGTATCCCTCGTCTGTGATGCATATTATGCTGGGGGGTCCAGGCCCCCATCAGAAGGCTTACAGAAGGTAGGTTATAATCTGCATTTTATAGGTGAAGGAACTGTGACCCATCTTTCAGGAGGCTTCATGAGTAAGATAACAACAAATTTTTACCAAAGATTGGATCCTACAGAGGGAACAAGGGAATCTGCTTACGGTAAAAGGAATACTACTGTATTGTTTTCAAAGGTCCCATAGACGACAGTGTGCACAGAGAGCTTCCTCTCATTCTGACATGGTCAATTCTTTTCAGGAAAATGAGGTACCTGATGAAGGAAAAAGAATGAGTCAATCAAGGGGAGGTCACTGAATGTCCTATGAGAAGTTTCTCCCACTCTATTTGGAGACCCCATTCTCAGTCCACTCACCAGCATCTGACCTTAGGCCACTTGCCCAAGACTGACCCTCAAGCCCAAGCTTTTTCATTAGCCCCATCATATAACTTATTTCTATGTTTTTGCTTGCTTTGTGGAGTAGCAAGAAAATCTGATTTGTTCACTCATTCCTGAGTAACCAGTGAGCACCTTTTAGGTGCTGGGGATGTATCAGTGAATGAGACAGATAATGCCCCTGACCTGACCTCAAGGAGCCCATTCTCAGAGGGATGAGACAGACCGACAAGAAAACCAAATACATTGTTAGAAACAACTGATAATGAGGGAAACAAAAGCAAGTTCAGGATTTACAACTGATGGAAGGAAGGGTGAGCATTTTAGACAGAAAAAGATGCTCTGAGGAAATGAACAGTAAGGAGACCTGAAGAAGGAAGGGACGGCGGCCATGTAAGTGCAGAGGAAGAGCATTCTGGCAGAGAGTTGGGCAAGTGCAAAGGTCCTGAGGGCACACCCCAGCTGTAAGGAATAGCGAGAGGCCAATGTGGCTTTCACCCAAGCAGGAAGGAGGGAGAGGGACAGATCCACAGGAGGGAAAGATCCACAGGATCTTTGCATTCCTTAGAGAATAAGGTATTACTCCTTAGAGAATAAGGTAAAACTCAAATCTGATGCCATTAACGTGCTTAAAATCTTTCAC